GATTTAATTGATAAGTGTTTCCTTGACTGGCAATAATCTCACGAAAATATTCAACCGAAATACCATCAAAGTCAGCTATAGCTGTAGAACAATATAAAAGATACCATCAACAGTAAAAACATACGGCAACTCGCGACTGATAAGAGCGTCGTCGTCTGTCGTCGTCCGTGTGAATGTTTTACTTTTTCGACTTCTTCTTGAGAACTACAAGCCTGAATGCTTTGATACTTGGTGTATATGTACCTTGGGTACATATTGAAAGTAAGCCTCAAAGACCCGTTGGATTCCTCTCTCAGATTTGTTCATTTCATGATGATATCTTCAATTCTCTAATTTTGGTGAATATTTTTTTTCATTTTTGGTAAAAAGTGATATTTTCGACTTCTTGTTAAAAACCGCAAGTCCGGTTGTTTTTATATTACATATATAGGTACTACATGTGGACCTCTTTCAGATTTGTTCATTTTGTAATGATATCTTTAATTCTCTAATTTTGGTGAATATTTTTGTCATTTTTGGTAAAAAGTGATATTTTTGACTTCTTGTTAAAAACCGCAAGTCCGGTTGTTTTTATATTACATATATAGGTACTACATGTGGACCTCTTTCAGATTTGTTAATTTTGTGGTGATATCTTCAATTATCCAATTTTGATGATTATTTTTGTCATTTTTGGTGAAAAGTGATATTTTTTAATTTTTGTTGAAAACAGCAAGTCCCATTGCTTTGATACTATACATACTGTTCATTTTCTGATGATATCTTCTGTTCTTTTATTAAAATGTGCATTGCTAACAGCGAGGCTATCTCAGCCGATAGGCTTCTTGTTTATATAGTCCCCAGTGGATCGGTGCCGGTAAACCCATTTACTTGGCAAATTTTGCCATCACACATCGTCCTTTACCGATCACTCTTCCTGCGATCACCATTTTCCTGTTTATTTGGAACTCTTTTTTTCTTGTTTTTCAAAAGACGTTAAAATTCTCTCGACTGAGGAAAAATAACATTCGGAATTTGAACATTTAAATTGGGATCCCCAGCTGTGCCGTGTGTCTTCCTTCAATGTCAAATCCTTTCATTGCAACTTGAGCACTGCAATGGCGCCGAGAAAGTTAGCTATTTAAGGTCTCATGCCGCTAATTAACCAATGGCTGCTCGTAGCCCTCAATTTAAATGCCCAGCAAGAACCAATGAAATTTTTTAAATATTATTTTTCTCAGGTGCTCCCTGTTTGAGGGCATAATCACCTGGGTCAGAGGTGAGACCAACATGTGGTCTTTTGTTTACTACTTAGCGACTGTGTACCTGTGGGTTTATTCTGTGTGTTAATGTGGTGTTTTTCCAGTGATTTCTCTTGGTGCAATCCAAATACAGTAGGTGTGTCTTGTTTACCTGAGATTTGCAAGAGTTTGAGCTGGCCAACATGTTAGTTTTTTTCATATGGTTGATTACTGGCATGTTGATTTCCCATTTTTGAGCCATATTTTCAACTTTCTTCGTCATTTTCATATAGCAATCTCGTCATATGTTAACACTGTCGTCTATGGAAATTAAATTAGTGGTATGAGCCCTAATGTAGACATCGATCAGTCTCAGCGATCCATCTGTGTCAGCCACTCCATCATCGTCACCATGTGATGATAATTTCCCTTCTGATGCACTTCTTGGGACTTCTTCTAGTTCTTCAATGTCTGAGCTACATGTAGATAAATGTTGCACTGTCACAGCAGTATCGTCGGAGTCCAAACATTCGCTGGACTCATACCACGATCGATGGTTTTTCTTGAGACTAAGTTTTGCTTCTTCGGACATTGGAGTCATATTCTTCCTTTTTTGTCCCTTCCTTCTCGTAATTTCTAATAATAATTCTAATAACAATTTTAAGGAGCGTTAATTTTTGGATGTGTTGTCACACACAGTGTACTAATATAGAACGATCACAAAGACAGAGCGTGTGTGCGTTGTTTCCGTTGCTAAGTAGGCCAACTTATGCAAATTAGGTCAATATTTATTGTTTGCGCTCAAAGCCGATTATCCTGAAATAAAAGTGAGCGGTCTGCTGTTTTAAACACATGTCCTAACCTTTTTGTTAAAAATGCCTTTTTTGGGTGTACTGGTTAATATTTTGAGTGGGAAACACATCCATTGCATGCAGATAGACAAATGCCACCAAACTAAACAATAAACAAAAAAAGTATAAAATAGTGACTGTTATGTCAACTACATCCTTAATTCATGCATTATATTTGGATTATTTAATTTGTTGTATATATATAAACAAGAGTTTCATCAGATTTTTGAGATGGTTAGTTATTAGAATTTGTGAAGTTCATCTTATCTCATCCTCAATTTTGATTTTACCATGGAGGTAAAAATTCTTATTACCTCCATGATTTTACTGAATGATATCTTGTTTATCACATTTTCAGCATTTACAATTGGAAACAAGCAAAGTTTAGACGACGTCAATCCTAAATTTACAATGAGAAGAGAAATGGAACGAGTAAGGGAAGAAATGGAACAGTTAGAGCAACTCAGAAGGGTGCGTATGATTTTGGATGCATATACCCTAGGGTTAGGGATATTCTAATTACTTTTCTGAAAGATATGTTTTGTGTTCGTCAGTTTATTCATGCATGCATCTGATTTGATTTCGTTGAGATTTTTGGCCTTTTACTTTCTCTGTTCATCATTAGATGAAGAGAAAGCTGACAAACATAACAATAGGAAGTGGAAATTAGCACATTAGCTGTAAAATATGAAGTGGAAACAAGCACATTAGCTATATAATAGAAAGTTGAAACTAGTACACTGTTACTAAAAAAGACGGTTAGGAAACGAACCATGTTCTTTTCATTGGATGCGTGTCGCAGGCAAACATTTGAAACAAAAGACGTACTAATCTGTGATAAATCATTAACATAAAATGCAGACAGGAAATCACGCAAATATGACGTCATTTTTCCCAGAGTTCATTGCAATCAACAACTGCACGCCATTTTATTGTGTCTGTGTCGATACTTTCAGTAATACTAAAGTGTAAGTTGTTACAGTGAATCCTGACAAAACCTGTCGCTCGGTTTTAAACTCAATACAAATTTGCCTGTCTTGTATGGCATTTTCGTTTTTAAAGAACAAGATCGGCAGAAAACTGAAATAAAAAAAACCACAAAACATGATCAGAAAAAAAGACGTCAAAGAAACCATACAAGTGTTTATATTTCAGCCATGCGAAAGTTTTAATGAGGAGCCATGATACCACATACATTTTGTTGGAATAAAACAAAAAGATAACTGAAATAACCCGCCCATGCTCTACAAAATGCATGTAAGCAGACCAAATATGCAACAACAGGCAGTTCCAATAAAATTAAGAATGGTTAAAAAAGGTTCGAAAAATTAATTTGGCGAAGAGACTGCTAGAAAGTTGTACCGACAGTTCAATGTGTTAAAAAATTGTAGCGTTGACTAAAACCACATTTAACGGCACGCTGAATATTGCAACATGAACAATTTACCAAAAAACTGAAACAAGGACAGACAAGAACAATTAAACAGACATTTTATGAAACTGGCGGAAAATGTTGAATACATTTTCAACGATTTCTACGGCGTCTACAAAAAAAGTGTTACGACTTTAAACAAAATGGCTGATACAGTGATGCGAAAGCAAAACGATCAAATTTACTCTAATAAGCCCCCAAATCGCACACAACCTTCATAAGTACGCACAGTAGTATACTAAAAATGCATTTGGTAGTATTTTTTATAATATAATGTATTTTAAAATAGTGACTTAGGGATTAGAATTTTCGTTACTTTTTCTTCCGGGACCCAAGCTTACTTTCATGACAACAGTGAAAACGATAAATGACGATTCTCGATTCTGAATGTTATCACAATCACAAAGAGTACTCATCGGAAATGTACGTGTCATTCTTCGTAGAGCTTTTGCACTAAACGTGGATATTCTATCGAAAACGAGCTTAAAATTTCAAATTCGCGGAACATCAAGTGATCGACACAAAAATGAAACAAAATAGTGGGCCTTGAAATCTCGAGCAATTGAAGGCGTACACAGCGTGACATGCATCCTTGAGGGATTAGACAGATTCACACCCTTTAACAATAGCGTTTCCTAACCGTCTTTTTTAGTAACCGTGGCTATACAATAGGAAGTAGAAACTAGCACATTAGCTATGTAATAGGAAGTGGAAACTAGCACATTAGCTATACAATAGGAAGTTGAAACTAGTACATTAGCTATACAATAGCAAGTTGAAACTAGTACATTAGCTATATAATAGGAAGTGGAAACTAGCACATTAGCTATATAATAGGAAGTGGAAACTAGCACTTTAGCTATGTAATAGGAAGTTGAAACTAGCACATTAGCTATACAATAGAAAGTTGAAACTAGTACATTAGCTATATAATAGGAAGTGGAAACTAGCACATTAGCTATATAATAGGAAGTGGAAACTAGCACTT